TAATTCATGGATTAAACGCAGGCCGGTGGATGGCCGAAGGAAGATCGGTGGAATAAACGCAGGCCGGTGTTTTTTTTATCAGGAATTTAAGTACTCGTCAAAATGCTACAGATGAGCTATTCAGAACTATTTGGTCTTAAAGTTGGGTGTAAAGTTAGCACCCCATTTTTTAATTGCTTTTTTTATAGTGTTAATCGCCGGAACTCTATGTAAATACATAAAAATACTTCTATACTCTTCGAAAAGAAGCTGGAACTCTAATCAGAACTATCGAATTTTAAAATAGGGGTGTTATCTTCACACACCCGATGAACGCATATATTTCGATTGAGCTCAGTTAGATTCTAGCAATCTGGTCCTAAGGTCGAATTCAATTTTTCGGAATTGCTATAGTCAAGTAAGTTTCCATCTGTTTTTACTTTCTGCCGTTTTATTATCAGAAACAGGCTTCTCATATTAGGCTTCTAAAATTAATCTCGAAACTAAAAATTCGTTCGTTGTTAATATAAACGAGATTGGCTTGCTTTGTGAACGCGAGAAAGTTAGTTGGTATTAGAGTTACGTAACAAATAAATGCGAAAGTAAATTAAATATTAGCAACAAGGCGAATATATATATATATATATAGCGAATAATAGCGGATCGAGTCTGCTCTCCTTCTTTTGAGTATTTTGCTGAAACTATAAAAATATTGTATAAAAATATTGAAAAAATATAAACTATCGCAGTGAAGAGTTATAAAAAGAGAAACAGAATTTTTCTACAATTTCTACATATGACGTTTGCAGAGTAAATGATGACGAGGGTTATCGATTACATCTGGGAAGTAATGAACGACATCGTACCTACCGCTTTAGCTTTTGAATAATCACTTTTATTTTTTATCCTTATCAATATTAAACAACGTATATAGTTACGTAAGGGTATATATATTACATGGAAAATTTTGTCCTTCTCGTGCGCATATATCTTCCCGAGATACTTCGAGTGCCCACCACCCGACCGTCCCGAGAGAAAAAAAGTATATCGGCGCACATGCATCATTCACTCTTTCTCTCTCTCTCTCTCTCTCTCTCTCTCTCTCTCTCTCTCTCTCTCTTTCTCTCTCGCTGTTTTTTTTCTCATACTTTTTTTTTATCCCCTTTCTTTCTCTCTCTTTCTCTCTCTCTCTGCTTCTATTAAGGACAAGAAAAATTCTTTTCTTTTATGTCTGGCTTTTTCCCGGCAAACGAGAAAAATGGCATCCTCGCGGAATTTCCTATCTTGAAGGACGCTTTTGCATTTCCATTTTTCAGACGACGCACGTGAGTCGCCGGTGTGGCTTCCTTCCCCGAGAACTCGTAATTTCGTATCTTCCCGAGTCATTCGCGCGTCCATTCACGCGAGCGCGGATCGACCCGCGAGAACGATGCACTCTTGCAAATCCGCTGTGGAGTCAAGAGCGACGTGAAATTGTGCGTGGCGCGTGTTACACGCCGCAAAATTGCTTACGTAGGAGATTGAAATTGCTAGCAGTTAATTTAATATTAATATCGCCCGCTTTTTGCAATGTCGTTCGCCGTATATCCATGTCGAAGGTATTAACAATAATACGCAGCGCGTCGGGTGCAATCTCCAAGACGAATTTCGTCGACTCTGTCGTGTACGTACCGTTGCACACATACGAGATATTTTGGTTGCGTATTTTTAGAATGACGAGGACATGATGCAATCTCCTTGTATTTTCATCTGTTCGCAGAACGCAGTTTTGGAGAAAAGAAAAATAGAAAACAAATCGTTCGTGCACCGATTCGCTCGTTGCGGTGCCGTATTCTCAACATTCGTATAGAACTGTATTATTATATTGTATCCCACTAAATTAATTTTTCGCTATAAGATAAGTGACTCTTAGATCCCTGTCATTCTTTAGTGCGTTTTCACTTTCACGGAGAACGTGTATCTTCGTTAGCCTTACATTCGTACATTTATACGAGTACGCGCTCGCAATTATAATCGGAATTGCTTTTCAGTGGCTGATCGCTTATTCTATCGTTACATATCGCACTTCCAACGGAAAAGAAGTAGAAGAATTATCGCGAGTATCACAAGTCGATTTTTCACAAAATCGCGTTTAGAGAGGGAATAAAATATAATTACTTAACTTGTTCATTATTGCCAAGTATATACACAACTATAGTACCACCGTTCACGTCGCTCTCTCACCTTATATCATGTTGGAGATTGTCCCTCTTCAAAAAAAAAAATGACAAACGGCGATTTCGCAGGTGTCACTTTCCTCGACTGAAAGTGCGATAATTCTCCGCGTCGTGCCTCCTGGTGGGAGCTAATACTTTCAACTTACAGCCGTCGAAACTCTCAAGGTATTCCGCAGCTAGTTACTGCGACTTCAAGGTACACACGTGACATCTGCGCGGAATCCGCCGATCTCGGTACAAAACCTCGAATTAAACGTCCGGTTCGATATATAGATATTCCAATTCCTAATTCCTCGGACATTTTGCGAACGTCTTAGCGGATGTTTTTTGGACTTTTACGTCGTCCAGATCGCTTCAGCTTTTCTTTACAGAGCAGAGATATTTTACTGGCGTTCCTCCGGCTTAAAATTTACTTCGCGGTTTTGTACCTCGATCGACGTAGTCCCGCCACCTTGTGCAATAGGCCATTTCCTCCTATCTAAGAATACGAAAGACTAACTAAAAGGGCAAAGAGTAAAACGCCGCGTCCTCCTCGTCGTTCTGCTATTAGCCTCGCATGTAGTCCTATCCTCCTGAGATACATCGAGACACGCAATCTCAATGGATCTACTGTTTGCTAATAATATTATTCGCATAGGTAGCATACTTGATTTGACAGGCTGAAGAATAGGAGGAAGCTATGTCGTCTGCGAAGTTTTAATGTTATTAACTTTAAAATTCGATCGAACAGATTTGGGAAGGTATATCGGTTAAAAGATGTTACTTTTCAATTATTTATTCATGATAATAAAAACCATACTCAATTTGCGTTTGTAACTTTCGGAATGTAATTTTTGCAAATCGTAAACCGACTTTTAGTGAGACTTAAATAAATTACATTAAATAATAAATAGATAATTAAATAAATTTGACAATGCGACATAGCTCCTTCGTCAGCTTCGCCCTTTCAACCGCCATGTATTTTTGTCCGTTTCAAGGAAGGGATCTCTAACGTCTCGTCTAACGTCTGGATAGATGTGTACAGGCACTGTTCTTTCACAGAGTAAACTCCCGTCCGTCGAGGATCGCGATAGTGCGATTCTGCAGCAGACAGAACGGATATTCAGAGAAATTTTGCTTACAGATCGCAAACGCGTCACGTCACCGGGAGTAGGCGTGCGATTTGCCTTGATTGCTAATTTTATTTCAAAAGCGCGTCTTTTTGTGACGTTGGATAAATGTTCTCGAAGTTGCTCAGCAGTATTTTTCAATATACATAACGGTCAAACTTTGTGCTTTGTTTCAGAAAAGTACCGTGCAAATATATTGAATTATATATATCACGCGAGATTTATGATCCAAGTTTTTCGCTGTTACATTTCACGGTGACGTAAACTCGGTGCAATCAAACAGTTCCCTAAGATATCCGCGACATTATTACAGGGGTAGAGGATCAAGATAAAAAGGAAAGGAACAAATGCATTGCATTGCAAAAGCGAAATTCGCGCCTGCGCTCCGTCTAGTAAGATTCGACCAGAATATTTGGCCATTTAATTTTTTTCTTAATACAGCTTTAACTTTGGACGCAACTTTTCCGCAGTTCTTGAGTATTCCATTTAATTAGGTTAAAATTTCACTAAAGAATTTAATCTGTTGACTCTAGAGTTTCGGTCAAATTTAGATGAAGAGCGAGGAGAAAGACACTAATTTTTTTTTACTTTAAACAACGGACTTCAAACTAATTAATATCGTGACCGCGAGCGTAGATGCGAATTTGCGACCTCCCTGATATGTATCACCTAAAAAATCGAACAGTCTCGTGTAGAAAGTATTCTACGTATAAAGTACTACACGTATTCTGCGCGATACGCGCGTCGCGTCGTGTCGACGTACGCGGTGGCGTAGGCTAACTTTGCGATCACGCGACGTTTCCGCGATTGACGCGCGCCGCGAATATGTGCAGGACTGATATGTGTGAAAGGATCACTCCGATCGATATGTAGAGAATAAAAAGCGAGAACCAAGCTCTCGACCTGCCCCTGTAGCGTGTCGAGTATCTCCCTTTTCGATCCTCGAATCAATTTTCACGCTTGGAACGCGAAACGATCGACGTTCATCGTCGTCGTTAGAGATGTACAGTGTTTCGATCACAGAGAGTATATGTGTATATATATTTGTGTATATATATAGATATATATGTGTGTATATATATATTTTTTTTCCTCTTTCCTCGCGAGATTAATCAGAATTCCACCGGTTCTGCTGAAAGACCCGTGCGCGATAAACTAAAGGGGGATCAGAGTGAACGATCGATTTTCGAACAAACTCACCCTTAATGCGATAAGTGAGATATATGAGTTACGATACATGTGAATTTATGTAATAAAAATTTGAAAAATTGGAAAAATGTCTCAAGAATTTTTCATATTATTAATCAGAATTTCTATAAAAATTTCTCAGAATGCTCAGAATTTTTTTTAGATTTTTTATACGAATTGGAAAGTTTTTCAGAAAAACTCAGAAATAAATAAGAATAAAATATTTCACTTTTTTCCCGCCAACATATCTTTGTAGAAATCTGAATAAATATGTGAAAATCTGTATAATTTATATGGATATTGAAATATTCTGAAAATTCTCATCCAATGTCCAATTATTTCTGAAAGTATCTGAGAAATGTTATATATTTTTACAGAATTTTTCATAAATCTCAATTCTTACAAAATTTCTGAGAAACTATAAGAAATTTTTTACACCAGGGTCACGCGCGGACACCCGTTAAAAATTTTTATTCCTTCCAATGGCTGTTTGCTCTTTTCTTTTCTCTCAAACATCGAACGACGTCTCGTTTTTCAATAATTTAATTATCAGTAATATGGTCGAATCAACTTTTTATTCGTATCGTAATTTGTCGATCGTCAGCACTCTGAGCCCTCCCTATCATCGCCTCGTCGTCGAATTTGCCGTTCACGTGGGAAAGGGACGCGGTATGTTGGGCGACTCAAGAGCCGCGGGACGATTTCCGCACACGGAGATGCGGACGCGAGCCTAACGAAGTAGTAAAAGTGGCGGAGCAGCTGGACGAAAGTAAATACAGACACGAGAAGAAATGTTTCGCGAAAGCGATCGCGGGGAGCGGTCGTCGTACCTGCCAACGACCTACGCCCGTCCAAAACGTTCGAGCGATCGACGCGTCGCGACGACGCCATCGACGCTCGCCTGGAAGATGCACGATCGAATGTCGAATAGTATGCAACGACGCATGTCTCCGTTACGAGCGAAACGACGAAAAATGAGAATACCTGCGTGGCTTCGGATGTTTCTCGTGAAGAAAAAAAAACCCCCGATCTCGAAATAATGAAAGTTATTTGAGTCAAAGCACGTGTACAAGCGACTTCTGGTCGCGCATTTACTTGATTGCCCCGCAATGCGCAATCGATAAGCATTCCGCGTTATGGCTTTTTTCGCATTTTATCACGGTCGCATGTCGTGTCTCCTTGGAATATCTCGCAGATTACTTGGCGAGACGGTCGATCGTCGCGATTGATCTCTCGGAATTTAATAACGCGAACGAGAGATGTCGTCGATAGGTATTAACAAAGGAAATCGAGAGATTAAAGCGAGGATCAGCCTCGGTATACAGCACGTACTCTCGGTTGTCTTGGATTATCTCGACTCGGGCTAATTGGAGCTGCACTCGTGGTTGTGAATAAGTAATCGCGGCGACGCGCTCAACGGCATAACATTCTCGCTCGTATCGGAGACACGCGGTCGCGCATCCCCCCGACCGTAATTACTCGGGAGTATCGAAGGCTATCCTCGATTCATCGCGCGGAACACACTAGCGGACAGAGAAGCACAATGGACTTGTGCACGTACGTACGGAGAAACGGTTTGTCTCGAAACACCGAAGAGATATGTACACGAAAACGAAATCTTATCTCGCGTCGTCTCCCGTCTACCACCGATATTCTTAATCCCGCAAGAAATTGGACGAATTGTAAAGTCGATCGAGAGGAGAACTCGTTTCTTCGAAAACTAAACCATCCACAGCCTCTGTTCTTCCTTCTGTTCTCTTCGAAATTTATCCCGATACGTATCTCGACTCCGAACGAGAAATTGATTTTCCTGATCCTTGTAATAAACAGAGGCAGGAGAATAGGTGCCAATTAACGGAGACGAGATCAAAATTTTTCGCGATTTCGGAAAGTAAATCCCCACCCGATATTTTTCGATACATCTAATCTTCTCTGCAGCGAGCTTAATTAATCGTACTCGCTCTCAATCCTTCTTTGGGAGGCGACGCGCGCTTAAATTCTAGATAATTTATACAAATTGCGTGTAAATTAATAATCAAAGAATTTACTCGAGGTAAGACGTATGTAAGTATTGTAGTAAGCTTAGATATACGATTATAATATGTTAGACTAAACTTCTTTTTTTTTCTTCTTTTTGGGAAAGACTAAAGTTAGGCAAAAGATGACGTTTTTCTTGTTTTTTTCCTTTTTTTCATTAAAGTATTCTTTTCTACGGATTCTTTCTCTCTCACACACACACTCTTTTCTTATTCATTATTTTCTCAGGCACGCCTCGCTCTTTCTTCTACTTTCTCTCTTTCTCTCTCTCTCTCTTTCTCATTCTCACTTCTGTTTCTCATTCGTCCTCTCGCTCCGACGACACACCTCATTCTCATCTCGCACTCGTTTCCCATTCGCAGACTAGCGATAAATTTGAACTTATATTAGCAGTTAGAGCGCTCTCTTGGAAAACACAAGTTTCGCCTTATACTAATAATGGTAATGGTCTCTTCATCTTTCTTCTTGCGTCTCCCCTCCCACTTTCCTTTCGTTCTCTTCCCGCAGCCCTTGCTCTCTTAACCCGTTGTCCCGTTTCCACCCCTTAATCCTTTTTTTCGCCTGTGACCTCGTCAACGACGGTACTATACAACTAGGATAATAAATATTGCCGCAAAATTATTTGCTACATTCGTCCCAAGTAGTCAACAAGTCCGACCCCTGGAGTATCGCGGTTCTTGGTCTTCTCGTTTACGTCACCGACTAAATTTCTCCCCGACGATCTCCACGTCTCCGACGTCGCGCATTACACTTCGTAAGAAAAGATAAAACTTTCCAGCGGACGATCAAGCGTCAACGGAATCTTCAAAGTGACCGACTTATTTCTTATAGTCAGTTTATAACTGTATCAACGAGCGCAAACTCTCGTAAAATTAAAACTTAGAAATGAAAAATGTACAAGAATAATAAACCTCCAAAGAAAGGAGCGCAATTACAAAAAAATATTACAGTTGATTCTGAAGCAAGTTTCCTTGTAAAAAAATTATATGGGAGTCTGAAAAAAGCCTAAAAAATCGGCGATTAATTTCAACTGCAGTTCAACTTATTCTTTGTCTTTTTATACGAATTTAATTTCCGATAATCTATCGAAAGTTTCTTAAAATAATCTTTTTTAGCGTATTGAACTCTCGATAATCGTCGACAGCTTGTCGCGCGCCGAAAGAACTTCTCCTCCAAGTTTGAATTCAAAACCGCCGCGATCCCCGAGGAGTCTGATTTCACTGGTAATCATCCGATGCCAGTCGCACGCGCGCGCGCAAACGTGTCGTCAGGTGTATGTGGTAATAATAACTCTCTTCCCCTCCCTACTCGTGTGTTAAGTATACATTAATATCCGTTCTCGGTACCGCGCGCGGTGCTCCTCAATCGTCCCAGGAGGGGAAGCTATCCTGATCGATGAACAGGTGCTTGCCCGTCGTTGACGCGGTTTGGTCGATGCGGCGGCCGCTCTCCGCCGTCCCCGCTTGTCTCTGCTGATGACCGCCGATGCTGATGTGCTGCTGCTGGTTCGGCGTGCCGCCGAAGTTTGTGCTGCCGAACACCGGCTGGCCGAACGCGTCCAGCTGCTGGCCCTCGTAGATGCTGCGGTCCGGCGTGTACTGCTTCTGCTGCTGCCGGTGATGATCGGTCACGGTCAGCTCGATGTTGCCGGCCGTGCCGCCGACGACGATATCGTCGACGTTCTCCGACGCGTTTGCCTCCTCCAGACTACTGTTCTTGATACCGTACTGGAAGTACATGATGAAACCTGATGGCAGATACAAGGAGCAGTGTTTCGACTGATCGTGAGATTCGCAGGAAGGAATAAAAAAAGTATATAAAGTATTATCATTTCAAAGATTGGATAGAAGCGAATAAAGAAAGTAGATATAATTAAGTCAGATCGCGCTTTTGTTCATAAATATTTCCGCTCATGGATAGTTTGAAAAAGAAACTTTATATTTAACATGAATATAAGTTTGTACCGAGAGTCATCCAGACTGTAAACCTAACAAGGGTGAGGATACTGAGCTTGAAGATGAGATAAATGTTGACGGTAACGGCGATGGCGGGAACGAAGGGTAAGCCTGGAGTCATGAACATTACGCTGCTCCTAAAACAAAAAGGATAATGCAGGGAGTTAGCACTTAGATCATTAAACCATTTTATGGATACGCTTCGCAGTTTGCGAATTACGCGGGATTGAAAATTACGATCGAATAATCCTATTACCTATTTTGCGGCTTTCTACTGATGACGAGAAGTATACCGATTATGGCAAAGAAAAATAAAAATAGTAGTATCGTTGTAAATGTTCCCATGTTACCTGAAAGAAAAAAGATGTGAAATCTCGATCGAGATACGTTTACAGCGTCTCGTGAAATTAATCATGTAAATGAAAAAAGTTTTCAAAATTATTTGGAATATTGTGTTTCAGAATTATATCTTTTTAGTATTATATGAGTTAATTTATTACACTCTTTTTCTTCTTTTTATTGTATAGAACATTTGATCAATTTCATGAGAAACTGTATTTGTTAATACATTAAAAACAGCGTAAATTCCTCACCCATCCCACAGACGATAATCAAGTCAAAAATAAGGATCAAGAAATATAAGATCCCAACGAGCTTCATGACGTAACGTCCTGACGCCTCTGTCGCAGGACCTCTGTCCACCCACGGGAATATTGCAGGACAAAGGTATTGCGCCGCCTACGAAGTGTCACGATTTATTAGCTTCGTAATAATCGCAGGGTCCTTTGGTTAAGAAATATTTTACGTGCAATTCTTTATATATAAAAATTAGAACAATATTCAATAATACAAAAATTTTGTTCGTTATCCGCACTTCAAGCATCAATTGACTAAATGCATCAGAAACTTTAAATCTTAGAAAAAAATGTATTCAGAGTAGTTCTGATTCTCCCTTTTTCGCATTGAGGGAATCTGATAAAGTAAAGACGTTTGTATAACTACCGTGTGGTAGGAAACTGAGGTACATGCGTCCATGTGAGGAAAAATCGAAGGAGGTCAAAAAATTGAAAAAAACCGAAAAAATCGAAGGATGCCGAAAAATCGTAGGAGACCGAAAATTGAAGGAAGCCGACAAATTGAAGGAAGCGGAAAGATCGAAAGAATTGAAGGAAACCGACAAATTGAAAGAAGCCGTAAAATCAATGGAGGCCGAAAAATCGAAGGTGACTGAAAGTTGAAGGAAGCCGACAAATTGAAGGAGGACGAAAAATCGAAAAAAGCCGAAAAATTGAAAGTAGTTGAAAAATTAAAGGAGGCAGAGTAATTAAAGGACGTCGAAATTAAAGGACGTCGAAGGAAGCAGAAAAACTAAAAGAGGCCGAAAAGTAAAGCAGGTCGAAAAATCAAAGGAAGCCGAAAAATTGAGGAATGCCGAAAAATTAAAGGAGGCCGAAAAATTGAAGGAAGCCGAAGAACGGAAGAAAGCCGACAAATTAAAGGAGATCGAAAAATTGAAGGAAGCCGAAAAATTAAGGGAAGCTGAAAAATCAAAGGAGGCCGAAAAATTGAAGGAAGTCGAAGAATTGAAGGAAGTCGAAAATTAAAGGAGGCTGTAGAATCGATGAAATAGTTGAAGGAGACCGCATACGTATTGAAGGAACATTTTTCTGTTTTTATCGTTGTAGAAGGCGCTGAGCGCTCACCCTGGAGGTGAGGTACGACAGGAGACGGAGGACATGAGTCAGAAGGAAGATAAAAGGAAAAGCTCGCAAGGAAGACAAATGGAAGGAAACAGAGGGTGAGCTACAGGAACTATAAGGAGCAGAAGGAAGGATACGGAGGAAGATGTTAATAGGGTTAATAAGGGGAAGGGTTAAATAATTCTGTGAGGTCGCATAATGGCCAGATTGTTTTGGGAATTGAATGCCATGACTTGTAAAGGTTTTTGGGCCCGTTTTTACTGAAAAAAATGCCTTTTTTGGCACATAGCTGAAATAAAGTCGTATAAAACTACCGTGTGGATCTAATATAAAACTAATATAAAACAAAAGTCATTTGTATTGGATAAATAATCGGGCGGAATCCTATCGTTTATTGAATATACCACGACTGGGTGACCTTATTCCACCGATCGATCGCTCTTCGATTACTAATCACTACCTGCAGCCGACGCTGTAGATAATTCAACGGTGGCCCTATGATCGGCGTGTTTCCGGGATACTGATGAGCGCTACCGCAACTCGAGGCGGCCGCGGCCGCGTGCACGCTGCCGTAGAATTTGTTCTCCGTTCTGTCGCTGACGAGATACTGATCGTCCTTACCCAATCCGACCTCGTCCTCCTCGCCGCCGTACGTGTCGTCCGAATCCGGCGACGAGCTGTTGGCCCTCCTCACCCGCCGCACCTGGAACGGCGCGACGCTAATTTCAAAATTGCGCAATCTCGCTTTAGTCCATTCCAGCAGCCCGTTACGCGGTTGATCCAATTTTCTTCGTCAACGTGGCAACGGGGGAAGAAATTCCCCGTTTTAAAAAGGGGAAAAGACTGGAATGCCGTTATCTTGAAAAATTTAATGGCAAAAGAGATAAATTTTTGCCTCTTATATACCTAATAAAAAGTTTTTCACTGTATTGAAATATAAGAAGAAAAATTCAGGAAGAAAGAAAAGAAAATTATGTTGCAAGAAATTCATAAAGGCGACATATAAAATGAATAAACGTTGGAAGTGATTTAACACGAAGAAAATGCCGAGCACAGAAACGCGTGCAAATAACTGCCAAAATGGAGCTATATACGAAAACGAGGAGAGCGTAGAACTGAAGAAATTGAGGTGAAAAAATCTCGTTTTCTCGCCGAGACGAAAGGAGGTTCTTTAATTACGCGGCGATGGAGGCGAACGACAAGGGCTGTTCTGTCGTTTTTTTTTACGCGCAAACGTGAGCAACCGAGTCTCACCGTGATACGCTGGCCGTTGTTGGTGGTCGTAAGCTCCGACTGGGACGTCTGTACCGAGTTCAACGCGGTCGCAAGCTGATCGGGCCTGAGCTCCTTGCCGTAAGTCACTTGGCCGTTCCCCTGCGTCTCCTTCGTGGGCGATCGACACGGCGTCCGCAGACTCTGCGGCAGCAATTCGATCAGATTCGTCGAATGCGGCTGGTACCGCAATATCAGCACGCACGTGGACACCAGGGTGTACGCCAACAGGGTACCTGCAGTATTAAACCGCGAACGGGAAACCTAAACGTGGCTCTTTCCCAGTATTCACCGCGCTACTTCATTATAATTCAATTCGTGCGACGGTTTTAATACTTGACGAACGCAAAATGTGCATACCGGTCCACGGCAACAGGACGCTTAATTGGAAATTGAATTGTAAATTCGACATGCAAGAAACAAAGTTTATTTAAACGGAAAGATTCACATCAACCATCAGAGTTTTATTCCACGCAATTTTATACTGCATTGTCGATTTGTATATAAAGTGAGGCTTAAAAAATATATATTTATTGAAAGATATTTATTAATTTATTCGTAGAGCAGGCAGTAATGATTTAACTACATTATTACAATTAATAATAATTATTTTTTTTAAATAATCAATAAGTATAGAAAAAAGCTGTACTCCATTCATCTCCAAAGTTTGTTTTGCGATAAACAGAAATTATTTTAGATAACATCTTACCGATCGACATCATCTCCACCAACACCTCCAGTTGAATCAGTAGCGCAGCGAAAGCGGCACATATACCGGAAGTTAGAGTCGCAATTGCGGGAGTGCCAGTCGCCGGCCAAACTTGGCTGAGGCTCCTGCGGAAGCGAAATGTGCGCGTTAAACCCTAATCCGGGGTCACACCCGTCTCAGCCGTCCTTAACAATTCATCTCATCGCCGTTTCGACGTTTCGGCGTTTTTACCCTGCGTCTTGATCATTACCGAAATATAAGGCCATCCTGAGCCATCGCGTAGACTATTCTAGGCATCGGAAACATGCTGCCGAACATGGAGACCGTCAGGCCCGCCAGCGCACCGATCGCGACGATGTACTTGCACTTGTAGGCCCCGACTTGGCCGAACATCTCCACCAACGCCGAATCCTGATCGACCTGATCATACGGAACTGAAACACGAGGTACGCGAGTACGTGCTGGGAACTCTGCAACGCCAGCTCTTCCGACCCGCGCGATACCATCGTCCCGATATCATGTAAATTCGAGTGAAACTCTTGCGAGTTTCACCCGGCAATCAATATGCTAATAATAACGATTTTACACGAAGCGTAACAATAATATACCTGACACAATAGTCGTAATAATGCTAAAGTTTCAACAACTCTCGTTTGCGAACAAGTTTCGTATAATAATTTTATTCTCCATTGTTTCCTCGGGCACCGTTACATTGCAGTTTGGAATAAAGTTGTGATAAAATTGATTGTGATACCGAGATGGAGGCGAATCTCGATTCGCCGATAGCGAACAAAGAGACACGTAGCCCTAAAGTCACTCTGCGCCTCGCATCAACAGTTATTCAAATTTTGAGAAGTGGGCGTGAAAACGCAGCGACAAAACCAAAAGAACGAACACATCGTCTGTCGTGAGTATACGAGACGTGAATAGGCGTACATTTTCATTAATGAAGGGCCAACAAACGATCGAACGGCCGTTGTTTAACAGTCTACTCACCAATCAGTGTCAAGACCATGCTGCTGGTGACGTAAGCGACGAGAATTATGATCAACGACGAGACTATGGCGAGGGGGATACTCCTCTTCGGATTCGTCGCCTCCTCGCCGGTGGTGGCTATTATGTCGAAGCCGATGAAGGCGTAGAAACACGTCGCCGCACCGGTGAAAACCTGTGAAGGGATAGAGAGAGATCCAGTTTTTCATCGCGTCTCGAACAAAGTGTATTGCGACGGAGACTGATCGGACACCGAAATACGATAAAGCGGAGAGAAAATAAGATATCTAACGGAAATCCGGGATGGGAAAATCGAGTTTCGCGCTCAAACAGAGCTACGGTCCTTTAGGTAAATGTCATAGCGCTTTTATTGAACTGTAGAATTTACCGTTGAATTCACTTCGCATTGTGGGATGATATGCGGTATTCGCGTTGGCGTATCGTTTGATTTAGCAACACGCCCATTATGAGAGCGCGTATAAAGTAATTAATTGGAGATCGATAAGAATAGCTGATTGTCCGACGTGAGTCGCTTTGCAACTATCATCGCTGCCTTCGTCGCCCTTAGTCAGATTTGCTGAAAGTGTCGCTCTTTGAATATTATATTAAATTTACATATTTCACCCCTGGTCGACGCGCTTATGAATTTTTGATGAACTCCGTGAAAAGAAGATTGAGACGTTGCTTAAATAATAATTCGCGTACGCTCCGCGTACGATCCCAACGGAAATAAATTAAAAACCTGTCCGAACCAGGTTGCCTGCAAAAACAGATCCGGCAATCCCGGCTGGCGTTTCGTCCCTCTGTCTTTGTCCCTCTTTCTCTCTTCCCGTTTTCCGCTGCTGGCGTTTATATCGCGCCCGTTGAAGAAAATTCGACGTGTTTCGCGATAGCGGCTTCGTGCGCGTTTGCTACGCCAGGATCGGGCATTTAAATTCCCTTTAACACAATTTTTCATTTTATTACGTTACGAGACAATAAGTAACTCTCCGAGTTTAAATAACAAGCATCTCTTTATTTTTTTTTTTAGATTTGCGATTTTCTATTTACGTTAAAAATATATTTCCTGTCCTCTCTCTTTCTTTTTCTCTGTAAGATTTTTATAAATAACTTTATGCGTAACTTTTTAAATATATTATTACGATCATTTATTAAAATAATACATTGTTCCGGCGTTTCCAACTATGTTATACGTTTCTACAATTTATTATTGCTAAAACAATGTGCAATTTACGAAATATTGCACCGCTCTTATCCGATAACGTAACATTTTTCACCTGATAAAGATAACGACAATCATTTTGTCTACTTTTGCGATCGACTGTAGCCGACGTTATAGGATCCGGGAGAACGACATTGTCCGCGATGACGCGCGGTACCGTAATATGACAACGTGTATATTGTGTGCATTCGTATACGATATCGACCATTTTTGCGCGCATCTCGAGTGGCGGCGAAACCGCAGCCATTATTTCGCGCACTGTGCAAAACGTCGAGCTCTTTTTTTTCAACTTCATTTTGCCTCGTCAACGATCGCCATATGACACGATGTCACACTCGAATTAAAACGAATGGTGACCGAGTAGCTGACGGGGCTAGAAATTCATTCGTTTTATGGAGTTGTTTCACGTGATATTTTATTACACGTATTAATGCGTCGAATCTGCGGAGACGTAATTAATGATGCTCTCGTCAATTTAGAATATCAAGAAATGTGATAGTGCTTTAACGAGGAAATGTGAGGCTCGTGCGTAATACAGTGCAATCCGTCCGAATTTCCCAAGATTTACATGAAATAATATTACGCGGTGTAGCGACAGCTCTTCTATTTGATAAATTCGATTCGGTTTGGAGGCCCACGGCTCCGTACAAATATTTAACCAGCTTATACAATGACCCAATTATCTAATGACCTTTTGTGATTTCAGCGAATTTTTTCGTGTATTTTTTGCGTAGCCCGCTTACATTTTTCCACCGATATTGTTACTGCATGCATTACTAGCGGTAATTCGACGAGAATTATCTCCGCGGGAATTATCTACGTCCGTTCATTTGGAACGAGTCTTTTCCGTATCGATAGTTCTCGATATCCTCGATATCGGCGCGTCGGCACGTGCCGAGGCGGCACCTTTGACTTTTACAGATCGCGATGCCTACGTGTCGCGCACAGTTCGCGGAGCATCCTGTTCACGACAGACTGGGGCTGACTTGCCACGATCGTTTAATCTCGCGACGATAGATCGACCTTACTCCCGTGGTCGTATTACCGATCACGCGGTCTCTGAAATTAATGCCTTGCAATTCTTTGCGAGATACGAGCGTCTCTTTCTTTGTGGAAGACACACGTATACCTTTCTTTTAAAGTATGAGACATAGTATTATAGGAGCATAAAAGGGCATTCAGTATAGAAATAAACAAACAACTATACAAGAGGTATTTTAAAATATTTACTGTTGCACCTGTTTGAGCGTTATTTTAACAAATCTTTTATCTTATAGAATTATTATTGCACTAATATGCCAGAGAGAATTCTGTTGCCACAAAGTTCAGCTGGTCTTGGTGGAGAAATCAGAACTCATTACGGCGTAATCTTGATTTTCTTTCTGTTAAATTACGCGTAAATTGCGACTGCGCCCCGTCTACCACAATTTGCTTTTCGGTCTGCCAAATATTAACACAAGATCCACGCTGTGGAAAAGCGCGGAGACGGGAAGAAATCCGGCCACCGTTTCGCAGGCTGGAAACAAAGGGGCGAGATCTTTTTAGAGTATTCCGCAAAGGAGGGTGCCGGGTTTCAGGAAGATAGACAGTTCGTGGTCGGAGAGGGGTGGAGCAAACCGGAAGCAACTCCGATTTCTTTGAGACCCTCGTCCCTAAACCCTTACCGCGTCCAAAGCCGATCCGAGGCGTCACGTACATCCTCAATCTGAATTCCGTCCGAGAACGTGGCATAATTTCACCGGCGGACTGTAACCGAAGTTAGGAACCGTACGAAAAGATGTATCGCGGGTATGTGAAAAGATGGGAAAATCCGCTTAAGTGCCACCGCGTATACGTCTGCATGACGGTAATTCCGCATTGCAGTGAGCGCGGGAGAGATTCCGGGGCCCTTTTGACATACGATGCCTCAGTTGATGGGAGCGTTACATATTTTCTGGATAAAATACCACGTCTTCACGATTCTCATAAATATCTACCGATACAGGGAAAATGTAACGCAATGCGGTGGAATCACGAGTGCCTCTTACATAAGATATACGTTATCATGAATGAATAGGGTAAACTCGGGTAAGATGGCCATAGAGGAAAGATGGCCAAC